AAATCAAATCCAAGACATCAAGGTATGTAATCCATAAAGACTTCAATGTGAATATATAAAGGTAAAGATTAATTATTATTATTTTATATAACCAGGGGAAATGTGGAATCCTTGTGAGGAAGTGACTATGCCTTCTCAGAGTTGGTACTTCCCAGAAAAAAAAATTGCTAAATTTCCTCCAAAATGTACTCTAAATGTTAGGCAAAGAGATTGCAGGAAAATTCAGGGCAAGGAATTATAATTTTATAGCCAGGGATTTAAAAACAACATAGACCAGGAATGTCTTCAAAATGAAATTCTGATAAAATAGTGACATTATCTTTTTTAGGAAGAACAGGAGAATCGTCTGAAGATGATGTGGTTGAACTTTTTGATAACCTTAGATTTTTAGAAACAAGATATACAAGAGATAATGAGAGATGACATAATCAAGACTAAATAAATATAGGAGTGGCCCAGACCTGTGAGGAGAGTGTCCTGAAGGTTAATAAACTAAGACCTGAAGAAGTGACTTAGGTCAACAAAAGGTTCTGAGAGCAATGTGCAGAGTCAGAAGAGCAGGAGAAAGGCTGGATGCCCTAGGTCACTTAGATCCCTGATAGCAGATGGTAGAGAGAAAGGAGATGCCACAGTCCCACTTTTTCTCTAACTTTACCTGCAGAAGAATTGCTCCCCTAGGAAAGGGTTCAGTAAAAACCCAACAAGCCAATAGATCTAGGCCAACAAAGAAACAAGACCAAGAGAGTTGAGGAGATAGTAATAAAGCATGTTGTTGCTTTAAATGTTTTTAATTACCCACTTACAGTGGACATGAACTTGGGCAAATTCTGGGAGATGGTGAGGGACAGGGAAGCCTGACGTGCTTCTGTCCTTGGGGTCGTGAAGAGTCGGACACGACTTGGTGACCTACCCCCTTCACGCAAATGGAAAGGATTTATAATTAGTTGTGATGACAGTGACCACTAGGCATCTCCTGGATCTTGGAGAATAGGAAGGGTGTAAAAAGGAAGCTATTGAGTGATGTATTAGTTTCCTATTGCAGTTGTAGCAAATTGCCACCAATGTGGTGGTTTAAAACAACACAAATTTATTATTTCTCAGTTCAGTAGGTCAGAAGTCTGAAATGGGTCCACTGGGCTAATGTCAAGGTGTTGGTGTTGCCGTGTTCCTTTCTAGAGGCTCTAGGGGAGATTCCATTTTCACACTTTTTCTAGTTCTAGGGGCTGCCCAGATCCCTGAGCTCTTGACCCCCTTCCATCCTCAAAGCCAGCGGTAGCTAGTCAAGTCTTTCTCACATCAGAAGTCTTTTGCTGACTCTTCTGCTTCTCAGGGTCACTACTATGCCCACCACAAGTGATAACCTGGCTTTCCAAAAAAGAGAAAGTGGTGGATTCTCAGCATTCTGCGCTGGTAATCAGCTTGATTCTTGCCCAAATTCTAGGCTCATCTGTTAAAACTGGTTAGCAAAATATGAAGGGAAGAAAGGAGGATCTTTAATAACCTGAATGGATTTGCTAAAAGCAAGCTAACCTCAATTTTAATTTTTTATTCAAGTGTATATAAATAGAAGAAACAGTGCACATTTTTTTTTGAAACAGTGCACATTTTATAAGCATACAGCTTGATGTGTGCTCAGATTGTACAAAGCAGCCCCCTGAACCTTTCTTGTGTTCAAGCCACTCACCCCATGGCCACTATGCACACTTTAAGGGAAATCTCTGTTCTGATTTCTAGTAGCATAGATTAATTTATGCTTTTATTTAAATGGACACAGAGGGTATGTCCTCTTGTATCTGGCTTGTTCACTTAATGTTCGTGAAGTGTATTCCTGGTTTTGTCTGTGGTTGTAGATGATTCATTTTTATTGCTGTGTAGTATTCCATTGTTTTCATTTAACTATTCTACTCTTGATTGGCATTTGAGTTGTTCTGTTCTGGATTAGCCCACGCAGGTACTCTCCTTCCTTTTAGTTCTAGAGTTGATGCTGGGCCTTATTGCTGGAACTAGCCTACTTCTCTAGGTGTCCATGGAGACTAGGTTTCATGACCATTGAGGAGCATCTCTTTAGATAATTATAGGAGTGACTTCTTCGCAGTGGCTTCTTCCTCCAAAGTAGGGGTCAAAGCAGGAATGGAGGTGCACCTGAGTTAAGGGTCCGAGGTGATTTTCAGGCCATCTTCCTATGGACTTGGCCCAGTGTTGGGTGGAGACTGAGTTGTACCTAGAGGTAGGAGGGTAGGGCATCCCTGATCCTTGAAGTTAAATGTCCTTGTCCTTATATTATCCTAACCCCAGGTCCCACCCCACCCACTTCCCTGCCTCTGAAGCAGGAGGTCGGGCTCCACTTCAAGAAGAGTGCACTTGGCTGTGCTCCGGGGCCACCGGTCAGCTGTATCCGCCACGGGTGGGGACAAAGAGCTCAGTCAGCACTGCTGCCTGCGTGGCCGTTTCCTGCTCTCATGGCCAAGAGGCCCTGCAGGCAGCTGAGCTCTGGGGAAGATGAGAGCTGGTGCTCTTTCCAGAGGATTCCCTCCTTCATTCAAACAGAGCCTCCCATGCTTGATGCAGAGAGCAGATCAGGGGGTGATGGTGGGTCCGTGGCTGAGAACAAAGGCTCAGGAGTCGGGGAGGAGGAAACACTGGTTGTCAAAAGAAGGCTACGAATGGATGGATATGGAAGTAGACTAGAGAAGCTATAGGGATTAAAATGTAAGCAATTCCTGAAAATTTTCGTTTTAGAATTTGCTGTAGTAAAGGGTAATGGGTCGGCTTTTCCCTGTCTAGCTCCCTGGACAGAGCTGAGAACAGAATCTGGTGGCATGTGGCTACAGACTGACTCAGAGCTAGAGCCAGTCCCTTAAGCCTCCTGCCCATCCCAGTTTGGTGTTGGCCCCCTGGTGATGCTGAGGGCTAACCATGAATTTTTTTTCTAATTAAAAAAAACATTGTCCGCATTGGGTCTTCGTTGCTGTGTTCGGGCTTCCTCTAGTTGCGGTGTGTGGGGGCTTCTCTCTAGTTATGGTGCTCGGATTTACTGCCCTGAGGCATGTGGGATCTTAGTTCCCCAACAAGGGATCAAACCCACATCTCCTGCATCGGGAGGCAGATTCTTTACCGCTGGACCGCCGGGAAAGTCCCTAACTGTGCATTTTAATTATGGGATCCTGTTCCTTTGTGAATGTGGCAGCTCCAGGTGTCTCCGGTATTTCCAATCCAGCCTGGCTCATATATTTGTGTGTCAGCAGCAGAGCCTGAGGGTGAGGGGTGGAGGTTACAGGATGCAGAGAAGTGGGATGAGGGCTGCTGAGTGGCTGGAGGCAGAAGCCAGTGGGGAGTGAAGGATGAGTGACTGGCTGAGGGGGATCAGCAGATCTGAAAGGTTTGGCCATTCTGTGGGGGTGCTTGTGGCGACTGCACACTCGTGCCTTTAATTATTAACTTAACACTGCATTGGCCTGGAGTTATGGGTGCATTTTTGCCCAGCCCTGTGATAAGGTTTGGTTGTTCATTGTCTTGTTTATTAGGGATAGGAAAGGCCCCTTTCTGGAAGAACAGAAAGAGACTTGGGCAGTGAGGGACGGGGAGACAGAAGGTGAGACGGCTTGGTTGCTTTTTCCTGCCCCTCAGGAGGAAGTAGTCCTGGGCCAGAGTGTGTTGAGACCAGGACACAAAAAACCAGGATGGCTGGGGACCCTAAGGGCCACACCACCGCCAGGATGGAGACAGGGAGTCCATGGGGCTGAGCTGGGGGCCAGAAGCAGGCAAGCCCAGCGCTTTCTCTCTGGGAAGGCAGCCCTCCTCCTGCTGCCCCAGTTGCTAAGCTGGGAAGGAGGGAGCAATGCCCGGATCCGGGATCTGCTGTATTGCAGCGGAAAGCTATGGGGTATGCGCCTACCTGCTTGTTTAAGAGGTTATGGGGGGAGTGGTTGAGGGACATTCTGTTGAATTTCAGAATTGTCTCTTTTGATTTTCTCCATCCCCCCCCCCCCCCCCCCCCCCCCCCCCCCCCTCAACCACATCCTGGGGCTACTGGTCAACCTCACAGCCTGTGTGGGCTTCCGCTCTAGAATTTCTTCTTCTGAAGTAGCAGATTATAGGTGTTTTTGTGGGAGGGGGATAGTGGATTTCTTTGATATTCTGATGGAAGTTATGGACCCTTTTTCTTAAAGAAATGCATATACTTTGGACATATGAACATAACACTTTACAGAGAATTCCAGGCCTTGTGGAAGCCCTAGGTTAAGAACCCTGGCTCTAAGGGCAATTCATGAACTTTGCCGGAGCTCTTTCAGGTAAAGAGTTTGCCTCTACCTCAGGGTGGAAGGACTTGAGGAATGTCCATGCCTCTGACTTTTGCATTGTCCAGTCAGGAAAAATGCCCCGTTCCCTTTGTATAGGAACCTGTTTCAAGAATCTTTCCAAGCGTGAAAACAAGCAGCTGAACAGGCCAGCAGAGGCAGGAAGTCTGGCCTCCAGCCTAATCCTGGTCACACATCCTGACCTGCTGGCCCAGACACTGGATAAGTTACAGCAGGGCTCATCAAGGTTAACAGTGATCCACAGCATCAGAGTGTTTATTCCTAGGCCCACATAAGGGGCTACGGGCCTGGAGATGGGGAGAGACTGTGACTTTTCAGAGCCAACAGCCAGAACACATCACTAACCCTGTTCCGCCACCAGTTGCTTCCTATTGCTGTGAGCACATTTGTGTGTAAGCAGATCCAGTCACTTTGTATCTCTTATATAAGTGCTGAGTGTGTGTGTGTGTTGTGTGTGTGTGTGTGTGTATTGCTGTGCAGCCAGGTGCTCAGCAAGTGCCTGTGAATGATAATGGTGAGGAAATTTTGGGCAGAGATTTCCACTGCAGAGCAGGTCAGAGCCCAGACACCTCTTTGACCAAAGGGTCTGTTTTGGTGATGGGTACTAGAAAAATTGCTTGGGGGGTCTAAGGCCCTCTGGATGGTAGGGTCAGTCACCAATCAGCATTATTTTTCTTTCAGGTCTCTTAACCTTCATTAACTGTGCCTATGTCAAGTGGGGAACCCTGGTACAAGATGTTTTCACCTATGCTAAAGTATTAGCCCTGATCGCCATCATCATCGCAGGCATCGTTAGACTTGGCCAGGGTAAGAAATAATAGTAACTGCAACTCAGCGTTTGTTAAGCGTTTTCCATGAGCTGTACCCTTCTCAGTAGCCTTTGTGCATGATTTCATTTAATAGGTAGTTATTATTCCCTTTTATTTAGGCCATGCCCCACAGCTTGAGGGATCTCAGTTCCTCCACCAGGGATTGAACCTGTGCCCTCTGCAATGGAAGCTCAGAGCCCTAACACCTGGACTGCCAAGAAATTCTCTAAAGTCCCTAGCTTAAGTGCATGCATGGGTGCTCAGTCGTGTCTAACTCTTTGTGACCCTATGGATTGTAGCCTGCCGGATTCCTCTGTCCATGGGATTCTCCAGGCAAGAATACTAGAGTGGGTTGCCATTTCTTTCTCTAAGGGATCTTCCTGATCCAGGGATCAAACCTGGGTCGCTTGTACTGCAGGCGGATTCTTTACTATCTGAGCTACCAGGGAAGCCCCAGCTTACATAGTGGAGCTGAAATTGGTACCAGGCAGACTGACCCCAAAGCCTGTCCTGTCATGTCTATGCATGCTGCCTCCCAGGGGAGGTTGATCTTGAGCCAGCTTTTGCAGATTGTCGAACCCAGTGCCATGGCAGTGACTGTTCTGCCCCTGGGAGTGGGCATGGGCAGAGATGAACCCGTGGTACTCACACCTCTCCGTTTCCAGGTGTGAACACCTGTTCTATAACTGCCCTGTTGACTGGGCGCACTGAACCCTGCCTTCCTCCACTCCGTGTCTGTTGTGCGGTTAGGAGGGGAGCAGGCAGAACTGCATCACTCCTGTTCTCTAGCCCTTGTGCTCTGTTGTTCCTTACCCTAGAAATTCACCAGGGCCCTTCCTGTTAAGATCCGGCTGCTGATCCCTGCACTCCGGCCCATTTCTGTAGGTGTGTCTCTTCTGCTCCCCATTCCTTCACTGGTACCCTTCCTGCTAAGGTGTTCTAAACCACAGGCACCCTGTTACTGTCATAGTCTTCCTCTCCCTTACTGAATCACCTTGTAGTTGGGGTACAGGCCACTAATCCTTCTGCCTTTCTGTGTTCTCTGGGTTACAGGAGCCTCGACTCACTTTGAAAATTCCTTTGAGGGTTCATCATTTTCAGTGGGTGACATTGCTCTGGCACTGTACTCGGCTCTGTTCTCCTACTCTGGCTGGGACACCCTCAACTATGTCACTGAAGAGATCCAGAACCCCGAGAGGTAGGTACTTCACTATCAACTTTCCACAGCGATGACAACTGTTATTTACTGAACTCCTACTATGTGCTGATGGCATACTACAACTGGTCAGTTTTGTCAGCATCATTTTGACAGGCCTGAGGCTGGACAAATAACTGGTCCATGATCATAGTAACAGTGCCAAGAGGTTAACTTTCTTGTACTAAAAAAAAATTTTTACAGGGCTTTTCACATTTGTTCAGGCATTTCAGCATTAATCAAAGTAGGTTGTATCATGTGCTTGTGTTTTTTTTTAATTAAAAAAATTGGCTTTTTTTTGTTGGTTTTTCCCCCCCCTTTTTTCTTTTACCTTTGGGTTCCCGGCCCGGCGGAACCTTTTTCCTTCTGATCCCATGTTTTTCAAATTCGTGACTTAGTGGTATTGTTTGTTTCAGTACGTCACTGAATTGTCCTGTAGTCATGGAGTGAAAAGAACACTGGGCAGGAAGTCAGAGGGCCTGGATTTGTCTTTCCACTGATTTGCTGGGTGACCTTGAGGGAATTCCCTGCCATCTCTGCCTGCTCCCTATCTATAATTGAGGGGGTTGAACTGTATGACTTTCAGAGCCTTTCCTGGCTCTAAAATTTAGTGACTCTAGGAACTAAGATTTGTCAGGAAATGAGGTTTCTGAAATTTTTAAGTTAAAATAATAATAAACTCCTTTTGGCTTTGAGAAACAAGGGTATTCTTGATGTACATCTAGTTGCAACCCTGGGAGCAGATAATAGCTGTGAAGGCCTGGGTGGTGCTTCCACCTACTGGACAGAAGCTGAATGACTTGAATATTTGCCCCTCTACACCCTGCCCCCCTCCAAGTCTCACTGCAAAGAATATTTATAAAGATCATGGCTTATTTTGGGCCAGAGGGACTATGAGCTGTCTTTAAGTCTTTCTCTTGGCCAAGGGTTAGGGTAGCACTCAAGGTTCTCAAACTGACTAAGGGAGTGGGGCGGACATATTTCTAATTGCTTGTTTAGGTACACATATTGTTCTTACTGAGGGCGTCTTACTCTTTAGAGAGGTTAAATTTCACAGTTTCCCTCCATAATTTCTTTTCTATTTAACCTTAAGACAAATTTTCCAGTGTTGATAATCTTGGAGAAGGAAGCCTGATACTAAGAAACCTGTAGAGTAAAACAAAACCAAACCTTCCTTTGCTGTTATCACACTGTGACATGGTTGTTAATCCTTTCCCCTTTTTTTCGTGTAGGCCTTTCTCTGAATGTTGTATTTCTTCCACCTGACGCTCTTTAGTGCTTGAGTTTAAGCTACTCTCCTACTTAAAGGCAAAAGCACTGGGGGAATGCCTAGGAGGCCCCAGCTCTGGATTGGTGCAGGCAGTCTAAGAATCAAAGGACAATGGGGATGAGACTGGGACTAATGGATCCACTGTTCTGTTTGGCTGCAGGAATCTGCCCCTCTCCATTGGCATTTCCATGCCCATTGTCACCATCATCTACATCTTGACCAATGTGGCCTATTACACTGTGCTTGAAATGAGGGACATCCTGGCAAGCGATGCTGTTGCTGTGGTAAAGGATTTTCACTAGCAGAAGGGTGAGGGTGTGTTTGTGGGCTTTGGGGTATCATGTTGCTCCTCAGAGTCCCAGAAATCCGGTAGTCCTTGGAGTATGCTTAGGGCACTGGGCTTGCAAGGTCCCGTTAGCCATACTATGTAAGAAGGGTTGGGCTGCCAGCAGAGGGACCTGCTTGTCCTTGCCTTCCATCTCTGTTGGGCCTGCTAATGACTGCTCTCCATTCCTTCCCCTTAGACTTTTGCAGACCAGATTTTTGGAATATTCAATTGGACCATTCCGTTTGCGGTTGCATTATCCTGCTTTGGTGGCCTCAATGCCTCCATCGTGGCTGCGTCTAGGTATAAGTGTCTTCTTTTACTGAGTATTGTGAAGAGCTGTGGCAGGGCCAGACTTACAGGACCCACTTGAGCCACCATGCTCCCCAAATGATAAGTCAACCCTTTGGCCCCATTCCCATCAGCAGCCTCCAGTGCTCACACATCTTGGTATTCAACTTCTTTCCAAATTAATCAAACCCTTTTGATGGAGGGAAGGACTTGTGGCATATGAACCCAGCCACACCCATGTCCCCCAGGTTTTTCAGCCTCTCCTATCTTACCCAAAATAGGCTTTTCTTTGTGGGCTCGAGAGAAGGCCATCTCCCTGATACCATCTGCATGATTCATGTGGAGCGGTTCACACCGGTGCCAGCTCTTCTCTTCAATGTAAGTGATCTCAAGACGGCTGAAAGCCAGGTAATGGGGAAACTTAGTAACTGTAGATAACAACTGTTCTAGTTTCCAAGAAGCTCTAAATATTCTAATAGAAAAACTATTAGTGGACCATTCACCATGGGCAAGGTAAGGCACTGTGCTAACTGCTGCAGTGGTTCTGAAGAGAATCCATCTTCTCTAAGGAATGTTGAGGCATAATGGTCATGGAATACATTGTAATGACTGCTGTGGCAGATAATGATGTAGTGTTTATGGGGAGAAATGGTCATTTCTGTAGGGGTAGAAGTGAAAGAACAAAGACTTTGGAGAATTTGAAATGGATCTTCAAGTTTAGGGTTGCAAATATCGATGGGCTTTAGGTTAGACAAATGGCATCAGCAATCTGGAGGTGTAGAGTTAGGCAGTAGAAGGTAAAAGCTGGAAGTGTACGTTGGAGCCATTCTGGAGAGGTTCTGGGGCAAAAGCTATTTGAGGAACTGTTTTGAGCTGTGCTGTATAGAGGATTAAGCTGGCAAGGTTTTGAAGAACGGGCTGAAAAAGGCTACTGACTTGATAGGAAATGAATGAAGTTAAGGTGGCAAATGGGGTGGGAACAGAAAAGGACAGTTGGAGAAAGTGAGGACTCAACAAGGGGGTGGATCTGTGGGATAAAGGGGACTGGAAACTGCTTTGCATGACAGAGGCTGACAGGAGCTGACAGGGGCTTGTGCCTACAGGGTCTCATGGCGTTGATCTACTTGTGTGTGGAGGACATCTTTCAGCTCATTAACTACTACAGCTTCAGCTACTGGTTCTTCGTGGGGCTCTCTATTGTGGGTCAGCTTTATCTGCGCTGGAAGGAGCCCAACAGGCCTCGTCCTCTCAAGGTAGCTCCTCTCCATCCCACCTTTGCTGCACCTGCTCCAGGGATTGACACCTACTCAGAAACCTCTGCCCAGAACTGTGGGTGGTACTCATTGAAATAAATGAAGGGGATGACATGAAGGCTCAGTACTCTGCTCTACAGGAGTGGGGGGTTATCGTGGCTGTCGACTCTGACCTGTTTAACTTCCAATTGTTTCCTTCTGTGCCCTTAGCTCAGCCTGTTCTTCCCCATTGTCTTCTGCCTCTGCACCGTCTTCCTGGTGGCTGTCCCACTCTACAGTGATACCATCAATTCTCTCATCGGCATTGGCATTGCTCTCTCAGGCTTGCCCTTTTACTTCTTCATCATCAGAGTGCCAGAACACAAACGACCTCTTTGCCTCCGCAGGATTGTGGGTAAGCCTTGGATCCTCAGGTCAGCTCAGCTATGGTACAGCTTGGGATTGTTCCTTTTTGCTTTCTTCTTCTGCAGCTCTTACTCTCCCAAGCCGCCTTTGCCATAGCCCCTACCTGTTGTTGAGGTTTAACTGCGATTGTGCCCTTGGGCCCAGCCCCATTCAGTGCCGCCTGGACTCAGTCCAGCTGACTTGCTCTTCTCAGTTCTGACTCAGACCTCTCTTTGCAGCCTCTGTCACGTGGTACGTCCAGGTCCTCTGTATGTCAGTTGCTGCAGAGATGGATTTGGAAGATGGAGGAGAGCAGTCCAAGCAACAGGATCCCAAGTCTGAATAACCACAAGAAATTTCAAGATGTGGAAAGCAGGGGCTTTTATCTCCTGCAGGCTGGAGGCAAGGAAGTTGAAAAGGAAAGCTCCCTTATTTGGAGACACCTGGCCAGAAGCCTCTTAGGCAGCTTCAGCAACCTCTGAACTTGCTTTCTGAGAGATGGAGAGTAATTTATTTGTTTTGCTACACATTATTCCAGGTTTCTTTAAAGGGACATAAAACAGACTGTGATGGGAAGCATGCTAGGTGTGAGCTGGGATGTTCCAGTGGTGTGCTCCCATGTGTGAAGATATCCACTCACGGCCACTGTGCCTGCCCACTACTTCTCTTCCACTGGAAAATCCAACAATGCTTTAACTGCCTGTCTCTTTTAGAGACATGAAACGGTCACAGGTGCTAGACAATAAAAGGGTATGCTTCTAAACTCTGAGCGGCTTCATCGTTTTAATAGTGTCTTAGGGATAGTTTCCATGAGCCAGGCAGGAAGACTAAAAACAATCTTATATTAGAAAGAATCTGAGTATTTCTCCCCCCTTAAGCCAGTTGCTGAAGGCTGATGCAACCAGCCTCTACACAAGAGAACACCTATGCTGCTGCAGCAAAATGCTGGGTTATTTGATAAAAGCTGTATCAACTTCTGTTCCTCTTATCACTAAGAACTTGAGCATATCTACTTCTTGAAGGATATTTTATAGGTAATCTTGGGATAAGTGAATGTGGTTCCTCCATATACATTCTCCACATTATCAGGCATACAACTCTGACTACAAAGCAAATATGGGCGTGACAACACATCTAGCCCTTAAGGCCAGGTTAAAACACCGAGATGCCTCCTAAGATCGTGGGCCAGCAAGAGCAATCATCACCCGAGCTATTCTTTCTGAAGCACGCAATCTGTTTCCCGGTTTAATAAGTGTTAGGAAGCAGTGTGTAGCACAGAGGTTTACTAACTGTGGATGGGAATCACCTGGCCCCCAGGGTTCTTTCACACTTAGGTGGAAGAGTGTAGTGGAATCCAATTTTACAATGAACATCAACATGTCCCACAGTTTCTAGGTCTGGCGTAAAGACCCAGCATGAAACCGCGTTCGAAGGCTGAGTCTCTGCAGAGACAGTTCCCGCCAGTGTGAGCAGGCAGCAGAGGTCAGCCAAGCGTGTCACGCCAGGGCTGCTTTGACTTTGCTTTGCTGCTGCTGCTGCCGGGGGCGTTGGGAGGGTCATTCTTTCCGTGCGGCAGCAGAGGGTTGTGGGCAAACGTCTGTCGTAACGGGCCTGGGGAAGAAGAGAAGACAAATCCTGATAAACGAAGAAAAGGAAGAAACAAATGACAGAATTTAGCCTGGAAGGGTTATTTACCCCTGGCAGCGAGCTCCAAGTGGTTCTGCATGCGTCGTTCCCGCTCCTGTAGCTGATGGGCCATTTCGGCATTCTTCCAGCCTGTGTAAAGAAAGGGGAGGAAGACCATTGGTCCTGCACCCATTTCGAGACCACAGTCCCCCGTCCTTGTCACAGAGGGTGGGCCCTTACCTTGTCTGAAGCTCTTTATGAAGCCTTCCCGTGGAGGTAACTTGTCTGGGTCGTGCACAACACGTTGGGGAATTTTCAGCACAGTGCGAACAGCAGGAATACGGAGACAGGCCACCTGGCCCAGGGAAAACATGTTGGAGGAGAGCCAGTACATGAACACTGCCTGGATGACAAGAGAAGGCACTCAGAAGCTGCGTCTCTGGGCAGCTTGCTGGGAGACTTGAAGCCAGCCCCTAAGCCATCACCTACCGTGGGGAAATGGACAGTTATGGGCAAGACTGCCAGGGGCATTAGTCTGATAAAATTTCTCATCCACTGAAGGTCAGAACTTTGCATGCCAGTTTCAGCACCTAACTGGGAAAAAAAAGAAAAAGCAAGGGGAGAACATGCATTCGACAAGCTAATGTATGTCAGTTTTCATTGATCTTGGCTCAGATCTCTTACCCATCAGTTCTCTCTCTCCAGGGAGTGAAGAATGACCATTCTATACAACTGCTTTCCTTTCACTCCCCACTCTACAGGACAGGCACTTGGCGAACCTGGGCTTACCTCAAGGACAGCCCACATTGTAGCTGTGACCACCAGAGGTAATACGTAGATGGGGTCGGATAGTGTGAGATCCTGGAACCACCAGAGACCACCTGTCTGCAGGCTGGGCACGGGAAGGTTGGCCATTTCTCTCAAGGCAATGAAGAAGGAGATGAAGATCGGGGCCTGTGACACAGGATAAACAGTGTCAGGACTCTTTAGCAGAGGGGACATTTTATTTACTCCATTACTGAAACCCATAATGGGTTTATGTAGCATAATATCACCACCAACCTGCTTTTAGGGTCTAGGGCATGGGAAACACAGAGGAGGTAATCTGATTTTTTATTTTTGTTGCTGTTGTTTCTCTTAATCTGTTTCTGAAGTTAGAGGGGAAATGTTTTTTGCTCACCTGAGTCAGTGGTAGAATGAGAGGTCTAAAGAGTTTAATATCATGCTTTTTCTGGTAGAAAGTCATCTCTGAGGAGGCCCTGTAAACTGGGAAGGGAGTGGAAGTTAATGGTTGGTGGAGGTGACCATCCTCATAACCTGGCCCACAAGTCAGATCTAACTGACCCTGGCCAGGCACTGGAAGCATTAGGCCCAAGAGGCAGGTATATCTTAGAACCTGCCCAACTGCAGTAACTCCCAATTTGAGTTGTTCCCCCCACACCCACTGCCCCTCCCCGCCCCCAGTTCTATGTAGGGAAAACAGGTCCTCTCCCATGCTTAGTCTGCAACTAACTCACATTCTGTGTGGTTTCCTGTCAATTTGGCCTCTCTGATTCGAGCGGAAAACTTCTGAATCTCTGGCAAGTGATTGTGAATCTTGGCTGCCTCTCGTTGGCCCTTCACGATGAGAGGAAACACCAGGCAGCGGGCAAGGACTGTGCCTGGAAACAAACTAGCAGTGGAGTGACATTCTGCATTCTCCATCAAGCCATTCTGTAGTTAGATGGCTAAGAGTTTCTTCATCCTCCCTGAGAGGGTCTCTCACCCAGACTTTCCCACCCTGCGACTCATGCCCACAGGGCCCCAAAACAAAGGGCATGGTGTGACTCAGCTCCTTCGAGGCTTGGTCCTCTGCTTTGACATCAAAAGTCTGGCATTAACTTCTCCAAACAAATGACCAGGAATCTTATTTCCTCAAAAAGGTGACAGAAGCTACTTTTATAGATCAATGGTTTCCAAACTTTTCTATGATTAACGGACTCCTTTTGTCCTCAGTTCTAAGTGTAACCACAATATACCTAACAAATAAAATCAAGCTGCCCTGGGTGAGGAGGCTGTCTGACTGTTATGATTGTTCAATCTCTGGAATGTGCTTTGCTCAGAAGCACTTTCACAGAACTCTAGGACTCCCAGGAATGAAGTCTGAAAAATGCTGTCCTAGAAATGTCTGGAATAGGAGGTAATCAGGTGGCCTACTGCTTTAACTCTTTCCTATTTCTTTTTTTACATTTCACATTTCTTGATTATTTCAACAAGTATTTATTTAGTTGATGGTATCTGTGATAAGCAAGTGGCCTGGGCTGAGAAGAGACGGGGAGATGCACATTTAGGCTTTATCACCATAATGATAAATGGTGTGAAGTGGACAGAGAAGGGAGCTAAGGACAGAATCGGGAATACCAGCACTAGGGGCAGGCAGAGTACCGAGCAATGGAGATGGGAGGATATGGACAGAAAGCTGCAAAAGCCAAGGGGCAGATTCCTCACTCTACCGTGGCTAACGCAGAAAGGGCAAGTATGAAAAGTGGACTAAGAAATGATATCACTGGCAGTTAGAATGAGGTGGTGTAAGTCAGCCTGCTGAGGGTCACAGAACAGAGAGAAAAGCTTGCTGGGGGCAGAATACTCTTTTAAATGATAGCTATGACGAGAAGGAGAAAGGGTAGTAGTTAAAAGGGAATTAATGATGAGGGGAAGGAATTTACCAAGAAACACACAGTATGCTTGCACACGTCTATATGTTCAGGGTAGGCAATAAAGATGGAGAAGCTGAAAACATGGGACAGAGGAGGAGGATCACTGGAGCAACGTATGGGGAGAAACATAATTTAAAGCAGTTTTAACCTTATAAGAGGAGTGATGTGAGTGTCTTCCCATCTGACCTGAACTTCCGCTCTCTTGAATCAGGCTTCATCACTGTTGCAGAGGTCCCTATACTTAAACCCTACCCCCACATTAAAAAACTTACACTTCTTATATCCTAGATGATCCAGTGGTTTTAAAATGCCCCTCAAGAAATACAGTGGAGTACATCCAAGTGTTATGAATCTCTATCACTCATTTGCATCAATTGGCTTTTCTCAGTTATAAACTTCTGCAACTATTTCCTCTATTCACACATAGAACTGCTATCTTTAAAGTTCTACCCCCAAACCCCACTTCCTCTACCCTTGTACAGATATGTTCCCCTTACATGTAGCAATGGCTCCCCACCATGGTAGGCCTAGGTTAACATGCATAAATTCAAGCAAGTTCTGGATCAGTCCCACTGGGGTGTAGGACCCCAGCCCAAGTTCAGCAAAGCTCTGCTCTGCAGCAGCTTGGATGATATCTGCGGCCTCTCCAGAAGCCACTTCAGGTACTGCTGTGGGTGGGGGAGTTGCAGGAATGACTGGAGGGGCCGGAACCTGTGGGGGGAAGAAAGTCATGTATTATATTCAGTCCCTAGAGGAGGAAATGGCAAACCACACTAGTATTCTTGTCTGAAAAATCCCATGGACAGAGGAGCCTGGCAAGCTACTGTCCAAAGGGTCACACAGAGTTGGATATGGCTAAGCGACTAAGCACATTATATTCAGCAGAGGGCAGACACATAGAAAACGAGGTCCCTCTTACAATAACCAACACTGGGGTACTGTCTGAACTCCCTAGTTCTTGTTCTCCTGTGGTAGCCTATACTCTCCAAAGAATCCAAAGCTTAAAAAGGACATTTGATGTCAGGAAGTCAATTAAAAAATTTATTATTTTTCTGGGTTTTATGATGCTTATGGTATTTGTCAGGTTTTCAAAAAATATTACTTTGAAAAGGTTACTTATTTTAAATACATATTCCTGTTCATGATTTTTAAAAAAGGATATTTTATGTTGTCCTCTAAGCAGGAAGATAAGTTACTCAGAATAAGACTTAATCACTCTCCTTCATGTGAGGAAGTTATTTCTTATATTAGTATTTTCCAAACTTCAGTTGCATGAGTATCACTGGCACGACTTTGTGTACACTGAAACTATTATAATTTTTCTTTAAACAACTCAGTTTTTAAGATGATATCTACTTGGTGCTGAGAAATATTAATGTCAATGAAATCAGGGACGTGCAAGTTGTAATTGTGTAAACTGAAAAAATGTACAACCTCAAAATTG